ACCGACCTGCCACCCAATTAAGAAACAACCATTTGCACCGTGGGGCAATTAACCTCTGGTGGAAATGGTTGTTTCTTGATTGGCTGTCAGCCGGTTGAAGGTGCCCCCTCCCCTCTGCCGACGGCCCGAAGACAGCCGGGGGAGGCTCCAGCAATCCTGCGACCCCGACCCTTGCGAGGGGACAAGGGAATGAGAAAATGGATGGGAGGGTGGACACCCACGCCAGCAAGAAGAGAACACAGAAGCGTGACCGGCCGGAGCTGGATTTGAACCCTGGACCTCTGCGTTCGCACTCCAACGCACTAACCAGTCGACCATGGAGCCGGCCCAGCATCACACTCAAACGTATAAATGACAACATAAAACACCTGTTTTTTTTTTTTAATAAAGATCAACACATTAAAAGTCATGATACTCTCTGTGTTGTCAATTTTTACTCTTGCTTGCCACTTGCTCTTGAGCAGCTTTCTTGGCTTCGATCTTCTCCACCACTTCCTGTCGGAGAAAGGGGACATATCATCTTACCATCTCAATCACAACAGGACATTTGTACCAATTCAAATGGAAGGGTTGTTGTCATTGCATACCAAAATGGCACCCAATGACAACAAACTTTCCACTTGAATTGGTACAAATGTCCTGTTGTGACTGAGATGGCTCATGACATCTCAGTCACGACAGGACATTTGTACCAGTTCAAGTTGAAGGGTTGTTGTCATTGGGTGCCAAATTTTTGGCACCCAATGACAACAACCCTTCCACTTGAATGACAACTTTTTCCACTCACCTCGTAGCGCTGCATGCAGTCTTTCTTGTTTCATCTGGGGATGGCGGCAGCGGCGATCTTGTCCCAGTGTTCTGGTGTGATGACCGGATGCGTCTTGAGGGCCTCCTCCAGAAGCTTCTGTTCCTCCGGGGGCCAGTGGGCTGCGGTTCCATCACCACCTGGGGCTGAATCACACAAGTACGGCAAGCTTTGATAAAAAGAATCTTTTGAAGCGCAGGCGGTTCCACTTGACACTCACCTTCAAAGCAGTCCAACGGCACCGTGTTGTCAACGGTGGCTGGCACACAGTTGCGTTTCTCAAAGGCTTTTCTGTTTGTGTCATCTTTCTGGAATGGATCTGAAAAGACAACAGCAACTCAAAGAATTAGTGGGATAAAAACAACAAAGAAAAGGACCATGTAAATAAAGTAAGGCGTTTTTAGCCCACCCAAAAACGACCATGGGGCTAAAAACGCCTTACTATACATGGTCGTTTTTTGGGGCTAAAAACGCCTTACTATACATGGTCGTTTTTTTGGGCTAAAAACGCCTTACTATACATGGTCATTTTTTCGAGCTAAAAACCCCTTACTATACATGGTCGTTTTTTGGGGCTAAAAACGCCTGACTATACATGGTCGTTTTTTGGGGCTAAAAACGCCTTACTATACATGGTCGTTTTTTTGGGCTAAAAACGCCTTACTATACATGGTCATTTTTTCGAGCTAAAAACCCCTTACTATACATGGTCGTTTTTTGGGGCTAAAAACGCCT